TACAGACCTGGGATTTCCTGGTCCTCCACTGTCTGTCCTTTGCCACTTCAGGCAAAGAATTGTCCCAGTGTACTTTTCAGAACTATTTCTTCCTATTACACAGCAGCTTCAGTTACAGAGGGTTCACTTCCTTCTTAGTCAGTGCCCCTCGTTGTAGGAAGGTCTCCTTTTGGCTCCCTCCCATGGGTCTGTAGCCTGGCCACTATCCCTCCTTGGCCCAGCACCTCTTCCAGCTGCTGTAACTTGATTCTCTGTGACAGGAGGAGCCCAGGGCTCTGACTCCTGCCAATGCATGGCCACTCCATGGTGCCTGTCCGAATCAGGTGCATCAGGTATACCTGGGCTGCTCTGGCTGGCTGCACTGGCTGTGTTCAAGACTGCTCTAAGGTGTGGCAGTCACCAGGTGCAACCACATGAACCTGGACCTACCCTGCTCTTCCTGCTGCTGATGCATTCTGATGCCCAGCTAATATCCCTTTCTCTACTTAATTGAATTTTTGTCAAAATTTCATCCCTCTTTTATGCTTGCTTTGGTTCTTTTTCTATAGGAGATAGCAAAAGCCTCCTCGAACCCATTTCCTCCCAGGCTTTTTTGCAGGATAAGTCACTTTTAAATGACTTTAATCTGCACTGTGAACGTGATTTTTGTAGTTCTTTTGCTAGATTTTTCTAGTATTTTTTGATTGTACTTATTCTGGGGGAAGGGGAGGCTGAGGCTCTAGCACTTTCTCACTCTAGCTCCCACTTTATGCTGTCAGGTGGCATCTCCCAAGGGATGGAGCCACTGTAACACTGTGGACAAAAACACCAACTGGACAGGACTAAGTGGGCTTTGGTCTGGTTCTGCTGGCTGCTAGCTGTGTGGCATTGGGCGAGTTACTCAGCTTTTCCTTGGCCTGGTTTTCCTCTTTCATAAGTGGAAAGGGCAATAATAGTACCTTCTTTGCTGGACTGTTGAGAAGGTTGGATGGATTAGTACATATGAACTCTGAGAAGAATGCCTGGCACACGTACATCTTTATGCATATTCACCTGAATGTGGAAAGGTGGGAGTAGAGTGAGGCTTTTCTTGAATCTGCTTGTCCTTGTGTTCTGAAATGTTCATGTGGAAGGTGACCTTGGGATTGCCTTCACCCTGCTTCTGGGCTGCTTCCTCCCCTTTGGGCACACCTGCCAGAGATGTGTGCTCAGGCTTGCCTGTGTGTGGTGCCTGAAGTCAGTTCGAGGGGGCCCCTCTTGCTCTGAGGATGCCCTGCTGATCTGGTCGAGCTTTGGCCCCAGCTCCACGGCTCTCTAGCTCTCTTCTGCAGCACTGGGCTAAGCGCCCCCATACAAAATGCATTTGGAGGGGGTGGGATGGCAGCAGCCAAGGTTGAGTGTTATTTGAATAAAAGGCTTTAAACAGGGCAATCTGAGTTTGGGACTTTATATGTCAACATGCCCATTTCCTCTGATTGGGCCTTTTCACTTTAAGGAGCCTTATTTTCATTTCAATTCAGATGATTATAATCTCAGCAGTTGCTCAGTTTGTTGCTCCCAGAATAATATGCTTTGCTTTAGTTTTGAAACTTGTTTGCAGAAAAATAAAGCCAACCAGTCAGCCCCGCAATGAACCTTGGGTACTCTGGCGCAGGCAGGTTAAGATTCCCCTTTTCCAAGCTCAGTGGGGGAATGACTGATGTCAGGCCTGGGGATTTGGCCCTGCGGTAGTAGGAGATACAGTCTGGCCAGACACTGCTGCAGCATCTGGCTGTGTCTGGGGCAAGTTCTTCACCTTCCTGAGCTTGGCTTCCTCATCTCAAAAATGGGGTGTTCCTGGACACAACCAGATATGGCTGTTGAGAGGATTAAAAGCAACTAATTGTGATAATAGACATACTTAGCACAGTGCTGGCACATGGGACATGCTCAATAAATGTGGCTGCTAAAAGTCGCACTAGTGGTATTAATTAGAACTCATTATTATTATTGGCAAAATAGTGCTTTTGTTTAACAGCTTTATTGAAGTGTAATTTGCACACCATAAAATTCACTTATTTTAAGGGCAGAATTCAGTGACTCTTCAGTAAGTCCACAAAGCTGTGCACTGATCTTTCTTCAGAGCATTTTTGTTGTCTTAGAAAGACCTGACTTGCCTGTTTGCAGTCCATCTCTGGGTCTACCTGTAGCCCCAGGCAGCCATGAACCTGCGCTCTGTCCCTACAGAGGTCCATTTCCTGGACATTCATGTCAACAGAGCAATAGCGGATTTTCATTTTGTTTCTCACCTAACTTCTCAAAATGGTTCCCTTTTTTTCCAGTTGCGTAAACTGAGTCTGAGAGGTTAAGAGGAATTCGTATGGCAAGAGAGTTACCGGAACAGTGGGAAGACTTTGGGTATAGGTGGCTTCCCTTTGGTCCCTGGTGGCACAAAGGGTTTGGGAGCAAATGAACCCCAGTAGAGACACCTGTCTAGGCTTGTCCTGCAGGCAAGCTGCCTTTCTGGCTGCACTTGCCCAGTTGTTGAGTATTTTCCTCTCGCCAGTTGTCAAGGGGGCTCTAGTGAGCTATAGGGACTCCCTGGGCCTTAGGGGACCCTCCCTGAAGTGCAAACTATGGAGGAATCAAAGGGGAGCAGGACCTGACAGCCCTGGAGGACTTGAATGTGGGCCTCCTCACCTTAGCCACGCAGGTGGGGTCTTATGTGACTGTATCCAGAGGAAGCAGGTCCAGGAGTATGTCATGGTATTAGCCTTTTCACTGCCATTTTGTTATTTCCTTATGGTTGGGTTGCCAGGTCTGTGCCTCAGTTTCCTCATCTATACAGAGGCCCTGGCTTCTGCCTCTTGTAGTTCTGAGAAAGTGCCTAGCAGAGTGCTGGAAACATAGGAAGGGTTTGATGTTAGTTCAAGTAGGACTGAGCTAAGATATCAAAATAACAAAAAGCCCATGAGCCCGGCCAGGGGGCGGGGGCCAAACGGGTCCCTTGGCTGTCCCAGCTTTAGCCATCTCCTCCCTGGCGTCCCTTTTGTCTGCACCCAGTGGAGCCCAGCTGGCGGGAGCTGGGAATTAACAGGCAGGGTCTGGGTTGCCTCCCGATGTGTCTAATCTGGAGAGCTGGCAGGAGCCGTTGGTCCGAAGGGCCTGTAATATGAGACCCCCAGCGGAGAAGGTGCCCTCACTCCTGGAGGGCCGCTGTAGAGGTGCTGGGATGCAGGGGTGAGGAGGCTGCCAGGAAGCTCAGAGCTGAGAGGGCGGCATCCATCCAGGCGGAGCTTTGCCAGCCGTGCCAGCTGGCGCGGGCGGATTGACATACACACGGTCAGAGCTGGGGGCCTGAGTGGGCAGGGAGGTGGTAGGTGTGGCCTAAGGCTTGGCTCAGTGCCAGCTCTGAGGGACCCCTCAGGACTCTCCAGCCAACCCTTACTCTCTCCTAAAGTCATGGGGTCAGCCCAGGACAGCAGGAACAGCTGCAGAGAGCCTGGAGTGGGGACCCTTGGATCTGCGATTGTGCACAAACGTGATGGTGCCTGTGAGCATTTGTGTGTAAGTCAAGTGTGTTCAAGTGTGTGCATGTATAAGTTTGTGTGAGTGATAGTATGAGCTGTGAATGGAGTGCGATTGTGTGTAGGTGAGTGTGTGAGAATGAGTGACGGTGTGTGTGACTGTGTATGGGAGTGTTATGGGAGTGATACGTACTGTGTGCAGCTAAGTGTGTGTGTGTGTGCGTGTGTGTATGTGCATGTGCTTGCGGTGCTGGGCATGTGCTACGCTGGCCCCTTCCTTTGCTGTGGGCTGGGCTGCCTCTGGGCTGCTTCTGTGAGGCTGGGAGGCTTTTCTGAGGACGAAGCCGGCTGGCTGGGACTGGGGAGGCGGGGGCAGTGGTTCTTTCCTCGGGGTTACAAGAGCAAGGTCAGCGCGGCCGAATCTGAGCTTTTGTTTGTCTCTCCCCTGCCCGCAGCAGCCTGTGGTCTGTTTCATTCATTATTAAGTTTTAAATCCACCCGACGAGAAACTTGAGCCTCGGAACTCTCTCCCGCCCAGGCTGGTTCTGTCCAACCTCTGCCGCGGCTCAGGAACTTCCCTGGCTTTATTTGTTGAGTCCTTTGTGCTTTTGTTTTCCCAGAAACGACAGCCCTTAGGTTTGTTTAGTTTCCCTCCAAGGCAGGGGAGGCTGGACAGGCTGCACCGGCCAATGAAATCCCGCTGTCCCTGGGGAATGTGGGAGTGGAGGCAAGGAGAGCCCCTGGGTGGGGTGGAGGCCTGCCCACTCTGAGCACTGTGACCCAGGCGCTAATCACCGCCACCGTCTCCCCAGGGTCCTGGATGGGTTTGGGGCGAATCCAGGGGTGGAGAGGAAACAAAGAAATCAATCCCCCACAGGATACTCTGGGCTGGGAAACCCGTGGGCCCTCAGTGCCCTTGTGTCAGCCCCCACCCGAGCTGGAGACTGGTTCACACCTTTTACGACTGGTCTGTTAGAGTCCCCTTGTCCACAAAGGATGTGGTTTAGCTGATGAGATAAAGTACGTTTTTGTCTTGAAAAATTGTGCCCATGCCTTCTGAGAATGAGCGGGATTTTTCTGCAGGTGAGGGTTGGAGGCCAGTTGACACCCAGGTGTCCATCAGGCGATGGGACATGTCCTTCTTTTGGCCTGTGGGACTGATGGCCTGAGGTCACTTCCGGTGATTCTGTCCAGGCTGCCCCTCCTCCCCCCATCAGGGAAGTGGCTGAGAACCTCACCTCCGGTGGGGGGTACTATGTCCAGCCAGGCCCAGGCAGGTGTTGCTGAGGAAAAAGACATTTCCCTTCCGTATCCTGCTGCCCCTCGGCCGCGTCCTCTGCAGATGGGAGGCCTGCATGTCCACTTGCTTCCGGCCCCCTGGCTCCCCCCTCTCCCCCTGCAGCAGTTGGCCAGCTGCACAGCCTCAGCCCGAGAGCTGTCGAGAAGCTGGCTCTGTCCTTGTTTCCCGGCGGCCCTGGGAATTGCCTCTAATCTCTTCTCTGCCTTCCCCTGCAGATGGTGATGACGACCCACAGCTCTCCTGGGTGGCCTCGTCTCCCTCCAGCAAGGATGTTGCGTCACCCACGCAGATGATCGGAGATGGTTGTGACCTCGGCCTCGGCGAGGAGGAAGGGGGCACAGGCCTGCCGTACCCTTGCCAGTTCTGCGATAAGTCCTTCATCCGCCTGAGCTACTTGAAGAGGCACGAGCAGATCCACAGTGACAAGCTGCCGTTCAAGTGCACCTACTGCAGCCGCCTCTTCAAGCACAAGAGGAGCCGAGACCGGCACATCAAGCTGCACACAGGCGACAAGAAGTACCACTGTCACGAATGCGAGGCGGCTTTCTCCCGGAGCGACCACCTCAAGATCCATCTGAAGACCCACAGCTCCAGCAAGCCGTTCAAGTGCACCGTGTGCAAGCGCGGCTTCTCCTCCACCAGCTCGCTGCAGAGCCACATGCAGGCCCACAAGAAGAACAAGGAGCATCTGGCCAAGTCGGAGAAGGAAGCTAAGAAAGACGACTTCATGTGTGACTACTGCGAGGACACCTTCAGCCAGACCGAGGAGCTGGAGAAGCACGTGCTCACCCGCCACCCCCAGCTCTCCGAGAAGGCCGACCTGCAGTGCCTCCACTGCCCCGAGGTCTTTGTCGACGAGAACACGCTGCTGGCCCACATCCACCAAGCTCACGCCAACCAGAAACACAAGTGCCCCATGTGCCCTGAGCAGTTCTCCTCAGTGGAGGGTGTCTACTGCCACCTGGACAGCCACCGGCAGCCCGACTCCAGCAACCACAGCGTCAGCCCCGACCCTGTGCTGGGCAGTGTGGCTTCCATGAGCAGTGCCACACCCGACTCCAGCGCCTCCGTCGAGCGCGGCTCGACCCCGGACTCCACCTTGAAGCCACTTCGGGGGCAGAAGAAGCTGCGGGATGATGGGCAGGGCTGGGCCAAGGTGGTCTACAGCTGCCCTTATTGTTCTAAGCGGGACTTTACCAGCCTGGCTGTGCTGGAGATCCACCTGAAGACCATCCACGCAGACAAGCCCCAGCAGAGCCACACATGTCAGATCTGCCTGGACTCCATGCCTACCCTCTACAACCTCAATGAGCACGTCCGAAAGCTGCACAAGAGCCACGCCTACCCCATGATGCAGTTTGGCAACATCTCTGCCTTCCACTGCAACTACTGCCCCGAGATGTTTGCTGACATCAACAGCCTGCAGGAGCACATCCGCGTCTCCCACTGTGGCCCCAATGCCAACCCACCTGATGGCAACAATGCTTTCTTCTGCAACCAGTGCTCCATGGGCTTCCTGACCGAGTCCTCCCTCACCGAGCACATCCAGCAGGCCCACTGCAGCGTCAGCAGCGCCAAGCTGGAGTCTCCAGTTGTGCAACCCACACAGTCTTTCATGGAGGTCTATTCCTGCCCCTACTGTACCAACTCACCCATCTTTGGCTCCATCCTGAAGCTCACCAAACACATTAAGGAGAACCACAAGAACATCCCTCTGGCACATAGCAAGAAGTCTAAGGCGGAGCAGAGCCCGGTTTCCTCTGATGTCGAGGTGTCTTCCCCCAAGCGGCAGCGGCTTTCAGGAAGTGCCAACTCCATCTCCAATGGGGAGTATCCCTGTAATCAATGTGACCTCAAGTTCTCCAACTTTGAGAGCTTCCAGACACACCTGAAGCTGCACCTGGAGCTGCTGCTGCGGAAGCAGGCATGCCCACAGTGCAAAGAGGACTTTGACTCCCAGGAGTCCCTCCTGCAGCACCTGACGGTGCATTACATGACCACGTCGACGCACTATGTGTGTGAGAGCTGTGACAAGCAGTTCTCCTCAGTGGATGACCTGCAGAAGCACCTGCTGGACATGCATACCTTTGTGCTGTACCATTGCACTCTGTGTCAGGAGGTCTTCGACTCCAAAGTGTCCATCCAGGTGCACCTGGCAGTGAAGCACAGCAATGAGAAGAAGATGTACCGCTGCACAGCCTGCAACTGGGACTTCCGCAAAGAGGCCGACCTGCAGGTGCACGTCAAGCACAGCCACCTGGGCAACCCGGCCAAGGCACACAAGTGCATCTTCTGTGGGGAGACCTTCAGCACTGAGGTGGAGCTGCAGTGCCACATTACCACGCACAGCAAGAAGTACAATTGCAAGTTCTGCAGCAAGGCCTTCCACGCCATCATCCTCCTGGAGAAGCATCTGCGAGAGAAGCACTGTGTGTTTGACGCTGCCACCGAGAACGGCACAGCCAACGGGGTGCCCCCTGCGGCCACCAAGAAGGCTGAGCCTACCGACCTGCAGGGCATGCTGCTAAAGAACCCCGAAGCCCCCAACAGCCATGAGGCGAGTGAGGATGATGTGGATGCATCGGAGCCCATGTATGGCTGTGACATCTGTGGGGCAGCCTACACCATGGAGGTGCTACTGCAGAATCACCGGCTGCGGGACCACAACATCCGGCCAGGTGAGGACGATGGCTCACGCAAGAAGGCCGAGTTCATCAAGGGCAGCCACAAGTGCAACGTTTGCTCACGGACTTTCTTCTCGGAGAATGGGCTGCGGGAACACCTGCAGACGCACCGGGGCCCTGCCAAGCACTACATGTGTCCCATCTGTGGTGAGCGTTTCCCCTCCCTGCTGACGCTCACCGAGCACAAGGTGACCCACAGCAAGAGCCTGGACACTGGCACCTGTCGCATCTGCAAGATGCCCCTGCAGAGCGAGGAGGAGTTCATTGAGCACTGCCAGATGCACCCTGACCTACGCAACTCACTCACGGGCTTCCGCTGTGTGGTTTGCATGCAGACAGTCACTTCCACACTCGAGCTCAAGATCCATGGCACCTTCCACATGCAGAAGCTGGCAGGCAGCTCAGCTGCATCCTCCCCTAATGGCCAGGGGCTGCAGAAGCTCTACAAGTGCGCCCTGTGCCTCAAGGAGTTCCGCAGCAAGCAGGACCTGGTGAAGCTCGATGTCAATGGACTCCCCTATGGCCTGTGCGCTGGCTGCATGGCCCGCAGTGCCAATGGACAGGTGGGGGGTCTGGCCCCGCCCGAGCCTTCCGACCGGCCCTGTGCTGGCCTCCGCTGCCCTGAGTGCAGTGTCAAGTTCGAGAGTGCCGAGGACCTGGAGAGCCACATGCAGGTGGACCACCGTGACCTCACACCAGAGACCAGTGGGCCCCGGAAAGGCTCCCAGACGTCACCAGTGCCCCGGGTAAGCTCAGTCCACCTAATCATGCCCTCTGCTCCTTGGGGATCCACTGATCCCCATAGATACCTCACCTCTTCAGTGCCATTGTTCCCAGTGGTTCCCTTTAGTTGCTTAGAGATGCCACATGGCTGAGCATATCCACTCCATGGTTCACCCTTCCAGGTTGAATCTGGTGTCACCTTTTCCTTCCCAGCTGTGTGACATGCACTCATTATAGTATTATCTGTCTTGGCCTCGTGGGTACTTGTGAAGTACCCATCCGTGCAGTGGGAGGGGGAATCATCTTGAATTCCTGGAATTATTGTGAGGGACAAATGACATGTAGGTAGAGTGCCTGGCATAGTGGCTGACACAGTCAGCATTCCATCAGCAAGGGCTGCTGTCTTCAATCTGGGTGGATTGATTTATTTGCTTACTGGACCTCCTTGGGCAAGTCACTTAACTTCTCTGGGTGTTTTCTCCAGGGGTGTTTTGACAAGCCATGGAGGTAATACGCACCCACAAGACTTACAACTGGGCCCTTGGGTGGAGCTCAGTGGTGCTCACCTTAGTTTCCAGCTGATAGCATCTTTGTCACTGATGTCCTTGTGGCCCTGAGGTGTGCTTCTGATCACTGTTATCCTTAGTGATTTATTGATTCATTCACCACTTTTTGGGAGCACTTATTATGTGTCTGGGAGCCGAGGAGAGCCAGGAATGGACGCCACCTTGAGGGCTTACAGAAAAGGAGGACCCACAGGTCCATTACTGTGGCTTTCAATAGGCCAAGGAAGCTGCTGGTGCGGCTACTGGGCTTGGGTACAAGGGCTGAGGCACCTGATGTGGCCTTGGAGCCTGCGTGACCTCTGGGTGTTAGCCCACGCGGGCTCAGGGATTCCCGCCGAGGCTGCGCTGTTCCGAGGTGGGGCCAGGCGGGTCTCAGGAGTCCCTTTCCCTGGAGGGCTGCTGCCGGCGCCACTGACAGGGACACAGCATTTGGGGAACGGCCACCTGTTAGAGGTGTCTGCTGAACCCCAGGGATGTTTACTGAGGGTGTTTGGCCTCGGAATCGGAACTGTGCCTGGGACTCAGCTTTGAGAGAGCAAGGGAAAAGGGGAGAGAGGGAAAACAGTAAAGGGAGAGTCCCACAGTAGGAGGGACCACAGAGGCCTCCCTGCATTGCAGGAAGATCCAAGAGGCCCAGCGAGCCAGAGGAACCTGCTGAGGACCCCTGGCTGGGTGAGAAACACCTGCGTGGGGTTAGAGCTATGTATCTGACTGGGCCTGAGGCTCCCCTGAGAGGCCTGTCTGGAAACCCTGAGCAGGGGCACTGACCACTTTTGCCCAGTTCTGACAGCCTCAGCTTGCTGGCTGGCCAGGGCATTGTGTGCAGTCTTAGGGAGCGTTTGGGCCCTGGAGCCAGATGGCCTGGATTTAAATCTCCCTCTTCCAGTACCCAGCTGTGATTTGGCCTCTCTGGGCCTCTGTCCTTCTTTATAAAGCCAGAAGGTAATAGTGATGATAATTAATGATGATAGTGTTAGTAAGAGCAGTGATGGTAATAGTAGTGAAGTAGAAATAGGAGTACTGTCTCTGTCCAGAGCTGACATCCTCTGGGCGGCACTAGCACCTGCTCTGGTTGGACAGTGCCTATTCTTGGGTGCTTGTGAGATGTCACTGTTATTTCCCATCCTGACCTTCTCCTCATTTTGCTCAAGGAAGAAATGAAAGGAGGAAGAGATGGGCATGTAGGAGAAAATGAGTTTTCTCATTTCTCATGTGATAACAGTCCACACTTATGGAGGGGTAGAATGTGCCAAGAGCTTTACATCTACTTACTCTATTTACCCCTTTCAATATTCACTTTTATAAGCAATTACACTGAGGAGGCACAGAGCAGTGAGGCCATTCACTTTGAGTCCCAGCTGTCAACAACAGCCAAGTGGCGGATTGGGGATCTGGACGCAGGCAGGGCGTGTCTGGTGCCACCACTGCCCATGCTTTTCAGCAACACTCTCCTGGCTGCAGCAGGGGAGAGGCCGGAGGGCTGGGGGCCAGGTGCTCATGCCTTGCTGAGGCCGTCGGACATTGTGGCTGGGCTGGACCTTTGCCTGTTTCTCTTGGGTGTACCCCGGCCTGGATCATTCTCTGTTTCCAACCCTGCTCACCGCTGGGCTGGTGTCCTTGGTGACCTGGGGCTGCTTCTGACCTCTCCAGGCCTGGGAATATGTGTGCCTCCCATTCCTTGGCCTTCCCTGGATCCAGCACCAAGTGGCCTTTGTAAAAGTCCCTACTGTGTGAGGGGTGCTCTCCTGGGCATCAACTCTTACATCGTCTCCATAGCAACACCTGGGAGCCTTGCTGTGGCTTCTGTTTTGGCAAAGATGAAATCTCCAGGCTCAGGAGAGTGAAGCCGTGGTGCCCAGGATGCACAGCTGTGCTCGGCGGTGCCGGATGAAGACCTCGTTTCCTGGGCCCTCCAGGCTTCCTCTTCCTGCCCTCTGCCTTGTGAGACAAGACCCAAGCTGAAAACCCCATCTCTGCCTGCTGGGAGGCCCAGGCAGACTGGCTGTTTGCAGCGAGGAGCTAGACAAAGCCTGGGTTGATCCCAGCCTTGGTGTGGCCTCTGGGGCCTTGCCCCCTGCCTGGGCACGTCTGGGGCATGGGCCCAGCTGTCTGCTAGCCCACGGCTTCCCTCCCCTAGGACTCACTCATGTTGGAGCAGACCCTGGGGGCTTCATGGGGCTTGGGGGCTGGCGGCTTAGGACCCTTGGGAGTGTATCCATAGCAACCAGCTCTCAGAGGACTAGGTTCCTGTGGGGCAGAGGCTGCTGTTGGCTGGAGCGTGAAGCGTTGAGGTTTCCACCTCCCCCTGTTTATGAGTAATAACACCATCACCCCACCTAGGGGCCAGCAGAGGCAGACCCTGGCCCTGCAGCAGCTCAGCAGGTCCTCAGGGTGCCTCTTTGTGGTAGGTGGAGGGGCCGGGGTGCTCGCATATCCCGTTTTACAGCCAGGTAAACAGACCTCCAGGTTGGAGGGTTAGCTTGTGTCCAGGTTGCACCAGCTCTGTGTCACCTAGACTGGGACTGCCCAAGGATGTCTGGCTGAGAGCTGAGAATGTCAGCTGAGATGGCAGGATCCAGGGAGAGCCAGACTGCCATTGAATGCCATTTCCCCTGGTGTCTGGCACAGGGCTTAGATCAAGGGATGTAGCCTCTCAGAATTCTACGTTCTCTATCACTGATGTGGAATATGCAGAGGGAGGTGAGAGCTCAGCGCAGATGCTGCCTGCACACAGTGGGTGCTGTGTGTGCGTGGGCTGTGTTCACGGTGATGGAAACTCAGCCACATGGCTATGCCCCTGCTGCCCTTCTGTTCTCCAAGGGCGGCTGCTCTTCCCTGCCCTCTTGCTCCTGTCCTCGCAGTCGCAGAGGGGTGCTTCTTCTGCTCTGAGGCTGCTCAGCAGTGTGTGGGAGAGGCAGTCCTTGACCCCGGGCCCGCACCTCAGCTTGGTTCCTGCCCCGTGCTCAGGGAAGAGATTTATGGCAAGGGAGGCACTTTGAGTGCCAGGTTCTGCCTGCCCAGGGGAGGCTGACACTGGAGAGGAAAAGGGCTCTGTGAAACGTAGGGAAGGGGAGACAGACACGGTAGATGTTGGGGTGAGTAGTACTGTGGACCAGCCAAGTTCGCAGGTGTCAGTGCCGGTGAGCCAGTGTGTGTGTGAGTGTGTGTGCCTGCAGGCTGTGCACTGGTGTGCATTTGTGAAGTATGTGTGTATTGGACCTGTGCATTTACTTGTGTCAAAAGCTGCTTGTGCCTCTGTGAATGTGTTTGGGAGTGGTGGGTGTGAGTGTCAGGGTTCCAGTGAAAGAGGAGAAGATGCATGTGGCTCTGGGGACAAGCTGAGATGTGTGCACTCATGGATCCAGGAGAATGTCTCCACTGCTAGGCATGTCACAAATGAGGCATGTTAAGCATACAATCTGTGCTGCTGGGAGGAGGCGCTGTGTGTGGAGCTGTGAGTATGGCTGTGAGGGGCATGTGTGTTAATGGGGGTGAGCACATGAATGCACATATGTGTACTTGCACAGCTGTATATGTGTGTGTGTGTGTGCACACACAGATGCTCAGTGGTTCTTCTGGCCCCTTCCTTGGGAGCCCTCTGGGACCTGCTTCCTTACCAAAAAGACCTTGTTATCTGGCAGTGCTCCTCCAGCCACCAAAAGGGTGGCTGCCTGGTATAGGAATGATTGGGGATGCCTCTCTTCTTGCCAACCCCCTCATGATTTCTTTTCCAAGCAGTGAGCCCATTTTATTCACCTGCCTCTAGGGGAGCAGTGGAATCACTTGATCATAGACTCTTCCAGACTAGGCTGGACCAACCATGGCTGTGGTCCGCAAGAGCTTCTCCCCAAGCAGATGGTCTTCTCTCCAGCCTTGGCTGCGACCTGACACCACTCTCTTCTTCCAGCCCACACAATCATTCACATGTAGGGTTGGGCACCCACCTGCAGCCTCTCCTGGGCTCCCCGGGGATGGAGCTCCCTGGGTTGGGCTTCATTCTAGCATTCATTCATTCATTCATTCGTCCAATCATCCAGGGCTTTGATATTGCCAGGCAAAGTGGATGAGAGCTTCGTGAATGAGTATGACCTAGATGGTAGAGGGACCACAGGTGCTCCCTCTTTACTTGCATGGAGCTGAGCCCTGGTAGGGGCTTTGGTGCTGTGTTCCCTCAGATCTCAGTCCCTGCTCAGTCTGGAGGCTGGATTCCTCAGCCTTGTCTCATTCCACCCTCTCAGACTCTCTCTGTTTTGCCCCAGGGCTTCTCATGCTGAGTGCCTGCTTCTAGAACCAGTGCCTGGCCTGCACTGTGGACACGTGGAACTCCCAGTTCTGAAACACTGGAGGACAGGACTCTGTGAGAGGGGATCCTAGAGCTTTCGAAGAGACCATTTCCTGGAGCCTGAAAACCCACCAGCTTTTCTAGTCATTCATTCATTCATGCGTTCATTCATTTAGCAAGGTGTTTTTTTTTTTTTTTTTTAAGCACCAATAACAATTATAATAAAAGTTTAAAAATTACTAGGCTTTTGGCCTGGTGAGACCCCATGCCAAGGTGATGGGCATTCAACATATTCAAATCATCTTTGGTCTCCTTTCCTCTTCTTGCCTAATAGAATGCTTAGCATAATATATTATTCTGCATCTTTGCTCATGCATTTGGTAAATCCTTTGTAAGCACTGGTTTGTGTTCACTGTGGGAACCCTAAGGTAAACAAACACATTCCCAGCCCTCTGGGTGCTCAAGGTGCAATAGGAGAATAGATGAGTCAGTTACCCACAACACAGCAATGTACTGATCCCCCTGGTGCTTTTAGCTGGAGCTTGGAGGTCTGAGTTGGCCCTGAACTCACTCTGAGGTGTGAAGAGAAGGCTTCTCAGAAGAGATGACATCAGAGCTGAGTCCTCAAGGATGGAAAGGGTCTTCTTGAAAAGGCCTGCAGGATTCTGGACCAGCTGCAGGTACAGGGGCGCCCAGGTGGAAGCTGCAGCAAGTGAGCTCTTGGGTGGCTCATTTTGCATTATTTAGAGTTGGGCTTGGGTCCTTGGCTAAGAAATCTAGAGTCCTGCTCCCTTTTCCAGAGGTAGGAGAGGCCCCATCATCCCAGGAGCTAGCATGCCTTCCAAAACTCCTAGATATTTTGAGTTCCAATACCTCCGTTCCCATTTCAAAAAACAAACAAATGAATAAACAAACAAACAAAAGCCTCCATAGCCACCATCTTGTCCCTCGATAGGCAACACCACCTGTGTCCCTGGGGGACAAGTTTCATAACTACCCAGGCTTAGTTGTAAGAGGAAGTCTGCTCTTTATGACTCATCAGGAAGCTCCTAGAGCTCCAGTTTTCAGCTGCCATCTCCAGAGGAAGCTGTTGATAGCCCTTAGGTGTGGAAACAGCTGTAGATTACATGTGGCCATGTGCGGCCAGGCCAGATGAAGAACTCCTCAGCTTTGAGTACCAGAGTTGTCAGGAGCAGCATCCCACTCTCAGCCCCCTGGTTTCTAGCGTGAACAAATGGATGAGAAGCTTGTTGGATGGATAGAAGGATGGCTGGCTGGCTGGCTGGCTGGGTATGGGGTGGACAGATGGATAGGAAGAGGATAGTTAAGCGGATGTGCGGAGACTGTGGCTGAGTAGATGGATGAGTACATGGTGAACGCGTAAATGGGTGGAGGGGTGGGTGTGCATGTAGATGGATGAATGGGTAGATGGATTTGCCCATCTAGGTATGGCAACCTTCCTTGGCCCCTAAGTTGAAGCAATCTCCCTCATCTGGCCAAGGTGCACCTCCCTGGAAATGTGGTCTAGGCCCCTTCCACAGGCCAGTGGAGCCGAGTCAGAGGTGGGAAGAGAGTGGCTGGCAGGGACCATAGCCATTTCAGGAAGTCTTGAGCCAAGCTGTCTCTCCTTACCTCCTGACTCTCTAATTCCTTTCTCTTTGGATTCTAAACAGAAAAAGACGTACCAGTGCATCAAGTGCCAGATGACCTTCGAGAGTGAGAGAGAGATCCAAATCCACGTTGCCAACCACATGATTGGTAAGAGTGCACCTCCTCTGGCCCTGCAGGGGCCGCTCCTCAGGGTTTAGAATTTGTGGCTCCAGTCATCATTTTACTGGCTTTTAGGGCAAAGGATGGAGTCACTGCTGCTGTTTCTGAGACATTTCAAATGGGAGTAAAAATGTCAGAGCGGGAGCACTTTCTTCATCCAAACCTTCTTGTCGCGGCTCCACTCACAATCAAACTTTTGACAATCTCTCCCATTTCCCAGCATAAATTTCCCTCCATTTCTGAAACAAAGTGCTTTCCAGTTGTCAAGCACTCAGGGACAATTATGCTTCAATTTTGTATGTCATGACATTGAATAGATTTAACTGCTCACATTTCCCCACTCAACACAGTGAATTCCTCAGGCACACTGTCAAAACAGAATGCCTACAGAGTTATTCCAGTCCTTTTCCTCTTCTTCTTCGAGTGGATTTGGACCTTGGAAAATGCAGTCTTTACAGAAGGGGAGCTTTCAAAGAGACACAGAGTTCACACACATAGCTGGAGGCATCTGGGGAAGCCACGCAGTCTCACTGACCTTGGCCAGATAGGTATTGTCCCCTTGGCAGCTGGGGATGCCCAGGTCGGAAGTGAGGGAGCAGCTGGGTGTTCTGAGTGCAGATGACATGGAGTTGGAAGGGCAGCAGGTGGGGTGATGGTGTTTGGAAGTCAGGGCCTCAGAGAGATTCTGGAGCCCTGGTACCCTGGATCTTTCTTGAACGTGTGATCACATCTTCTGAGACTGTAGGCACGTTGTGAGCTGTGAGCTGTCAGTCACACTTGGAGGGTCCTGACCCCTGCTCATCCCCACTTTTCTTCTTGTAGCATCTTTTTCTTATAGTCTTAGCAGCTGCCATGCTATCAGAGTGCTGTTTAACAAACTTTTTGTTACGTGTATTCCAAAAACCTCCTGTAGCTCTAGGAATTGTCCCCCCTCTGAACACACCTGTGTAGCTCACACCCCGGACAGGAGAGCAGGCTGTTCCCAGCATTCCAAGGTGACTGTCTCAGCCTTCTTAGGACCTACCCACGCCTCACCAAAGCGCATCACCATCCAGAGGTCTGACAGCGTAGGTTAACGTTGCTCGACTTGTGCTCTAAATAAATGGAGTCGCAGTTTATTTCTACCCGCTTTTCCCGTGACCGCCTCTAGTTGGCACTCACTCCCTCTTGGTGTGAACTGCTCTGTCATGTGAACCTGCTACCATTTGTCTGTCCTACTGCATGGGCTCATGCTGGAGTTGTTTGAAATGGTGTGCTGCTGTGAGCATTCATGTACGCACCTGTTGGTGAAGTCACATGCAAATGATTTTAAAGGGAATGCAGGAATAGATGGCTATTATATATCTTTATATGAGATGATGCTATTTATATATGCATCGTATGTATCTAATGGGAATATAGCCATAGAAGCAGAATTGCTGGGTCATAGGCCATGTGATGGTTGCCTTTAGTGGACGGTGACAAATCGATGCTTGAAGCGTTGTATGTGTGCACTTCTGCTCAAACCAGCAGTGTGAAAGTCTCAGGGAATCTACATGTGTATTGTCACCAGCATTTTACATAAAGTAGCTGCTGAAAGGGAGCTTCTTTGGTGAAGATGCTTTCAGAATAAGTACCGGTCCGCTGGTCCACCCCCGCGCTGGTGCTGCCCTCCTCACAGGGTTCGGGAGCCCAGTACCTGGGCTTGACCCTGGTCTGGAAGCCTCTGACTCTAGAGACTTGGAGCTGGTGCCCCAAAGGCACCAGGCCCAGGCGTGTGTATGGTGGGGCTCACCCAGTGGTAAGGGGGAGGAAGAGCCCAGGAAGGGCAGGGCAGCCCCAGGAGCTTGGCCTGACAGGGAGATTGGTGGCTTTTTAATTTCTTCTGTCTGCAAGCCCCCTGCCGAAGTATAAGAAGGAACGCTACCCTGCCAGTCACCGGCTGCTGAGAGCCCGTTCGCGGGAGTGTCAGGGAGGTGAAGATGAAGGTATCCGAGAATGTTTGCTTTTGTAGCAGGTGGTGATGCACGCCACTGTTTGTAAGCATGAAGGGTGAGAGTCTTTCTAATTGGACCGCAGTGATTTCAGAGGTGTTCCCGTCCTTTCCCGCCTCCACCTTGCCTTTGTGCCCAGCCTGGAAGCTGTGTCCTCCGGTGGAAGGCAATGGCTGCTCGGAACTGGACCTGCGGGACACGAAGAGAGGGTGTGTGATGGGCCTTTGGGCCTTTGTGTGAGTCACGGGCTGAGCTTGTGTGAAAGGGGTCTGGTCTGGTGGCTCAGTAGTCACCCAGGCCACCTTGCCGCGCTGTGGGCTCTCCTGCTTCCTGGCCCAGCCTGTGGGAGCTGGAGGCCGCAGGCCTGCAGCCAGGAGTGGCTGGCCTCGGAGGCAGAGGTTGTGTTTCACTGTGCTGGTCTTTGGGGCGTATGAGCCAGAGCCGGCACCTGCTCTCTGCCTGCTCTCCCTCACCTCGTACCCTGCTCTGACAGAGAACACAGACGGAGCACAGACTGTATCGGGCGGCCTGTGTGGGTGACAGAGGGTAAAGGAGTCCCTGCCCTCAGAGACCTCACAGTATCCCCTGGCAGACACCGCAGAGCACACCCTGTGCCTTGAGGAAGGCACTCGTTCCACCTTACTCCATGCCAAGCGCCTTATGTGGGTGCTCGTCTCTGTTGTACAGACGAGCAGCCTGAGCTTGCAGAGGTCATATGACTTCCTCAAGTTCTTACCTCCAGTACGTGATGGAGGCAGAGAATGATAACAGCAGACCTTTCTATTGTTTGCAGCCCCTGTCAGGGCTTTTTGGGGTCCCTGTCCATGGGGGAGGTGGGTGGGCATCCAGAGCAGAGACTTCTGCATCCAAGTATGTCTGTTAGCAGGATTGGGTATTGAAGTTTGCAGAGGAGATTTCTCTGTGGCAAGGCTTTCTCAGACAGAGTAAGGGTGTGGCCCAGGAGGAGAGAGCTTGACCTATGTGTTGTACTAGACTGTGAAGGTGGGGCACAGCCTTATCTGGCAGGAGCAAACTGGAGAGTTTCAGAGCTGTAGGGCCTGCCTGTCAGGACGGAGACATCAGGCCTGGTAGCACTGCGGGTAGTGAGGGATGGGGTAGTTTGGGACCAGGCCACAGATGGCCCTGAAGGCCAGTGCAGGGGGTTGGATTTGGATGTCACACTGTAGGCCAGGATCCATCTTTGGGGCCCCTTGGCTGATTTTTTTTTTTTTTTTTGGCTTGTTTTAAAAATCCAGAAGAGGTGGCAGCCCCACATTCCCACATGACACAGCTGCCAATCCTTGTGGGCAGGGCATGGATGCTCAGGCACCACAGCGCCACTGGCATCTACTTGGCTCATTCTTGCCCCAGCCTAGTCGCTGTGGGCTCCTGAGCACACAGCCTTGAGCTGAAGTGCTAGGGAGCTATTGAAGGGTTTGGAGCAGAGCATGGCTGGGACTGAGGATTAACCTGGCTGCAGTGCTGAGGCGGGTAAGAGAGGGAGGGGACTGACCTGCCTGGTTCAATCCAGGGGTGAGGAAAGGCAGGGGAGGAGGGGAGAGGGAACTGACAGACTCATATTTGGCTGGCACTGTGTGCTGGAGCCGCGGGGGCCGCTGGTGGAAGGGTGAGAGAGGTGTGGGGAGAGAGCGCGACGCAGGAGGCTGGCTCTAGCTGGCTGTGCAGCCCTGGTGACTCTGTTGGGGCCAGCGTCCCTGCGGACAACTTCTCTTTCTAAACGACCTGAGCTCTGGAGCTGGCCTGGGTAACGGTTCCCCTTAGCGGCACCAAGGGCACTGTTCAGCTCCGCAGCCTTCTCGTAAACTTGGGGCTTTTGGGGGTCGGAGACAGGGCTCCTCTGGGATCCATACTGCTGGAGACCTCCCCCTGGGCTACTAAGCTGGCCTTTTTATAGCAGGGGGCCTCGGTGTGGCTTTGCAGCTCCGAGACCCCGGGAGTGTGGATGACTCGGGGCCGTGTCTCCTTGGATACATTCTCCCAGCACCCCTCTCCCAGCTGCTGCTAGGGAAGGAGCACTTTGGATCTGATAGAAAGACAAGGGTCTTTGGAAACCTTTTCAGCAGCGGGGTTGCCTTTGAAATCCCCCCTCCCCACAGGGAATGAGGCCCCTTCCCAGGGCCTGCCCCAGCTTTTGAAATGGCTTTAGACACCGCCTCCCCGAGCAGGCACTTCAAAAACTTGGAGCAGTGCACAGCTCTGTTCTGTGGCCTCCCGCCACGGTGACCCCCTCCACCCAGACACAGCCCCCAGCCTCTCCACCCCATTCTGGCAGGGGGCCCCCTCTCTGCTCTGCAGGAGGCTGTGCAGAGACATTTTTCCCCACCATGGCTGGGGAGGGGAGGGGAACCCCTCTTCTCCACGTGTTGTGCCCCGGGGAACACATTGCCCTCTAGGGTGCTCCGACCCCACTCTGGGAAGCAGGGCCTGCACTGGGGACACTGACTGGGTGGACTGGCTGCTCCTTGACTGGCGGGAGACATCTGTCCTTTGAGGGCTGTGGGGTGGAGGCGGTTGCACTGGGGCTCTGAGAACTTGTCCTTGAGAGAAGAAACTCGCTGTGACCCAGGTTGGCCCCAGGAGAATGACTCAGCCCCTGGGTCCCTGGATGTCCTTATTCAGGGCCTCATGGGCCTCTTGGGAGCCCTGAGGAGACCAGGCTGGGAAGAGACATCCTTGGGGAATCACGTTGGGATCGTTTGCCCTCAGTGTCCTTGGAAAGTGGCTGTGGACTCTGGCGGGAGGCCAGGCAGAGCCAGCTGTCCCAGTGGGGCATTAGTCACTCAGGAGCCCTCACTTCTTGGTCACGCTGGGTCCTGTCCCTGGGTGCCTCGCGAAGGCTGGGCTTTGCTGTTGGAGTGAAGAAATGGGGCAGGAAAGAGTCATCTGGAGGATCAGCCCCTCCCACCTCCTGCTCAGGCCTTCACTGTGCCCCATTGCTGGCCTCAGCCTGCCCTCCTACCCTTCCCTCACTGCTGGTGGGGCACAGGCCAATCC